GGCGTTAAGGTGATTTGGTACCCTAGGCACCATTTATTTTGCCGCCCCCTTCAACTAATAAAATTCAAGTAAATTTTGTTATTCAGCCTGCCGCCCTTGGCAGCTGCCTATCTTGCTTAATGGATAAAGCGGCACTGGTCTTGGGTCAGCATTTACCGAGGGAGAGGTAAACCGCTGATGTATTTTGGTGTTCAAGATGTTGACAATACTTGGTATTAGTGATATTAATCGTGGTATTAGTTGGCATTTTTTCCATTATACATGGTATTAGTGTACAGAAACTTGTCAGCGGCTTACAACACTGAGAGCTGTCTCGAATTGTCATCGGCATCAGAGTGGATTTGTGCTCCCACCATGCTCATTTTTAATCCTACCTACACGTTTACGAACCGGCAACACTGTATCCGCCCTTTTATTTTGCGTCTCTCTCTGTCAACCGGTCAATTGTTTTAATGTCTGTCGTATCCATTAAAATCCTATACACAGTAATTGAATGACCAGCCAAACCAAATATTAAAAGCATCAGTACTTGAGAATGTATTATTTCAACAAAATTATTTTTGGCAATCTAATAAAAATAATTTATAAAATAATGTCTATTGTAATATAGTATATTTATGTTTAGCTTACTGCTTAGCATTCTTTATACACATTGTATAGTTTAGTCCCTTGACGCGCCTTGTAATTTCCACTCAAAGGGAAAACAATGCGAGGCGTGTAACCTGCGGGACGAAACATCAGTCTAAATTTATCCCGACTGAAACCTTCTCGCATTTCAGCCGTATAATAACTTCGACAATAGTTATGTAGTCGAACTGAATTCAGAGCACGAACGCATTCGTCCTCTATTTTCCGTCATTTAAGTTATTGCGAAAGTTATTTCAAATTTAACAACTAACGAATAGAATTCATAAAAAAATCTCTTAAAAAATAGTGAATATATTTCACATTTTAACATTTTTTTTAAATATTATAGTCCAGAAGGCAGTGATTTTTTTTACTTACTTTCCCAGTGGGTGAATAGAGAGGGTGTCCCAGAAATAAGTGCAAATATTTTAACTGGTAGCATATTTCGGCCCCAGAAACACGCCTATATTTCTTGACATTTTCCGGGAAATTTTAAAAAACTTTTTAGTGGGATTTTTTATTCACTTGAGGTGTCGAGCCTTGTGAAAGACCCTTAATGGCCGGCTATCGCCAGCGCGAGCTGTTTCCAAAATGTTGCTATTATTTTTTTAAATTTTCTAAGTTAAACAAATCGGTTATTTTCAATTTATTTTAAAAATGGTAAAGATGATAGTATATTGTTTTATAAAGCTTCATTAGTGGAATAAATTATTGGTTTCAATTAGCGTAGAAGTTTGTTCCGTTCATTTCAATGTAAGCATTCAGAACGTCAAAATTAGTAGTAGACATTTTCAATTAGTAGAAAAAGTTATCAAAAGTTAAGTCTCCTTCCTTGTATACCGAACGGCTCTAGTATGGCAACTGTACCTTGCTACTCCCAAGGCGTTAAACGCTATACACGGGAGCTATTATTATTATTATTAGAAAAAGTTATCAAACTTTTAACTTTTCCACTAATTATACTTCAAAATTTGCGAGAAATGTCATTTTGGCCTTTGATTATCGAAATAAAAAGTTCATTGTTTTATAAGCCAAATATTAGGCCTTCTCTATGGATACAACTGACTAACGCAAGCTGTTGCTAGGATATTCTATTAATTTTAATTGTGTTTTTTAAACATTGTGAATGATCCTAAACTAAAAAGTATAAAGTGTAATTGAAACCACTAATTTATTCCACTAATTGCGAGGTTCTGAATGAAGCTTTGGGTGTAAAAATGGCACTTTTTGTGGCGAATGTACGTTTGGTTATACAGCCGAGGCACAAAGAGTCATTCTTACTCCGACATGCTATTTTTTTAGCCGACCATACCAACAGGCAAAAAAAAGTCTTTTAATTTCACTCAAAATGAGTTATTTGGGTCATAAATGACCTAAATACAACATATTTTCATGGTGTCTGTCTGTCTGTCTGCCTGTGTGTCTGTCTGTCTGTCTACCCGTCTGTCCGTCTGTCCGTCTGTCTGAAACACGATAACTAAAAACCGCTAAACCGATTTTAATCAAATTTGGCACAAAAATACTGTGGAACCCGAGAACCTGAGAGCCATTAGTTTTTGGTGGGGGTGGGGGGTTTGGTTTAAAAAAATCGTAACTCCAAAATTACAGTAGCTAGCGAAACGCGGTTTTCAATTTAAGATTAGAAATAATATTTGCAATAAAATTTGTAATAACATCAAAATCAGTCAAAGTCGCAGTTTTTGAGATAAAAAAATTGGAAAAATTCCTTTACTTTGAAACTAAAAGAAGTGCCTACCTACTTTTTATTAACATACGTGCCTCCCGGCGCCAATTTTTGTCAAACGTTACAAATATTTTTTAAAACAATTTCAAACATTCCAAATACTATTAAAAGATTTAAAAGAAATATGTAATTATATATCGAGAAACTATGGTTACGGGCTCGTTGAATTTGACACTTTATGTTAGGTTAATAATATATTTTCGTACTTCATGCTTAGGCGTAAAAGTGCTTTATTATTAAGCCTACGCATTAAAACGAAGATTTTATTGTAAAACTTGGAAAATAAGTTCGTCATAATAATGCTTTTATTTATTCACTATTCTAATAATCAATATGCATTCCTTCGGAAACTCTCTATTTATTTATCTAGTAATGCTAAAACACTCTATTTTAAAGTCGATTAGAGAAAATAGTATGATTCATTGGCAAGTAATGTAAATATTTACGATCCGGTAAAATTGTGATGTAAGAGGAGGCTTAGCTTGCCTGAGGCGAGTTAGTTGTTGATAGGCCGGCAGGCTGTTGTGTTGTGTTTTGTCATAGAACTGATATTTGGAGGTTGAGAGTCTTTTGACTATAAACGTTGCAAGTACTGTAAGGCAACCAGTCGTTTGACCGGAAGAAAACCTCTGGTGACGTCTTTCCTTCGACGTTGGTCTTGAGAGTTTGAGGTCTCCCGTGTCTTCTCGATTGACACGATGCGGCGTTGGGGTAGAGAGACTAGTGAGGTACCCCAATTAGCTTATTCGATTGGGATGCGAATCTGTTTAGCGGCAGAGTTGCGTCCTGGGGAAGCCCCTATACTATTTCAGGTGACACTAGCTAGTTGTTGAAGATTATTAACCAATATATAACCAAATGATATTTGAACTAGATGGAAAATATGGAATGGGATATATTGAATAGAATATATCAGTGGCTAGGGGGCGGAGTACCCCCGGGTGAGTCTTACTATTTAACTATCAATTTTATCCAGATCAGTAAATGTTTGTTTTGTTATTTTCATGTACAATGAGAGAGTGCTTGCCAATGACCAACTAAATGGATATTTGAGGTGAATTTGCATTGTGAGACCCGGTTGAGTAAGTCCCAGACATAAGCGATTTTACATTATATTGTTAATCACGTCGCAAAAACTAATACTTCTGTGACGTTTAAAAAAAATATGTTTCTTTTGACCAGATCTACCACCCTTTAAAATATCTGCACTTATTACTGGAACTCCCAGTATAAACATATGTTCGATTGGTGACATTAAATGACAATTTGTTAGTTTCAACAAATTTTCGGATGGGTTGACTAGATAAAAACTAAAAAAGTCCATTTATTTTCCCAGTCATAAATACTTGACATTTATTAAAGTGAATCATGTTATTGATGGAAATAACAGTCTAGCACATCCCTAATGGAAGGAAGTCACTCTGGCTGAAAATTTGCACATGCAAAAATTTTACAGATTTTTGAAAGCCGCAACCTTCATATTTAACGTGTCCTACTAACGTATGAAATTTAACGTATCATTTGATACTATCATAAACTACAGTCAAAAGTCTGACTGATTTACGAAATTGACAAATGAGTCTGGCGGCATCTCAAAATTGCAAAATTACAATATTTTACTTTACTTTATGGCGGTCGACAGATCATTAATTGTTTTTTAGCATAATTTATGATTTATTTTGCCCTTGTAACAGTTACTTCTGTGTGTTGATTTTCATACTTAATTATAATTAATAAAATAATTTTAACAATTATGATGAAACGAAAATACAAATATTAACTTGTTTCTATACAGAGTAATTCAAAATCGAACCATTAGGATCTGGAAAACAATAGGCAATAGGAGATATGAAAATGGTTAAATTAGGGCAAAGTTGTGCATTAATTAATGTCCCTAATAATATGCCATAGACACATTTAAAATTCCAAATAGTTACAGAGATATTCTAGGAAAACCAAAACCAGCAGAAAACCCAAAAGTATATAAGTATGACGAAAATAAATGTCACTATACAGGGCCAGTTTTAAATAAATGCAAATTATTTTTCGATACCAGAAACACGTCTATTAGAGTTTTTCTTGGCAACATTTTTTTTTTTGAAAATTTGAAATTTTAGTTTTTAGTTAGCACATAATATCTTCATAATATGGCAACATTAGATAGTAGATTAAATTTATAAGAAAGAAGAACAAAAAAGATCCAGTGGTTCTCAAAATTTAAGAAAAAATATTATATTATTTCAGAGTAAAATAACTCGGATATTTTGGACTTATTTAAAAAACGGTAAAGAGAAAATCTGTTTCTTTTATCGACATTTACCAGCCCTGAAAATATTTGCTCTTATTTTAGACTCACCCTGTATATTAATTCTTTAAAATCAAAATAAGAATAAAAATATTCTACCATTAAAACGAAAAAGTAGCCAGTCAGTACTTTTAACATACCGAATTAAAATATGTTAAAAAGGTTTTACAAATATTGATAAAAAAGCGACTTTCTAATTAATTTCAGTAACCACTAGTTAAACTATCTCATTATACCTTAATATATTGATAAGCATACCCGTAGAAAAAATAAGCAGTATGAACTCATTAAAAAGGTAGTTATCTTTACAACCACTAACATAAAATTAAAAAAATATTACTATTGATTACTGGCATGAATATATCAAGTAAAACTAAACAGTGCCATTAATTTAACATGTTCTTACCTTTGTACTTACTTCTTTCTCTACTTTTTTTACTGATCTATGATATTATCTTAAATTTTTACAAGAAGCGAGCCCTTTTTAAGTTCTTTTTAGAACACAATGGTCCAAGATATTATCCGTATATCGGAACCAATGCATTTAAAGATTCCAGTAAGTTTATTATATTTTATTTAAATATTATTTTAAAGACTAGTCATAAGATAATACGCTATTAAACAATCAGTTTAATGAACTTTAGGTTTACATTCTTTCTTTAGGTTATAATCAAATTGAGCTATATTCTACCATTTATTACGATGATATCTCCTTGCAATTCTTCTTTCATTTATTTACGCCCATATGTTTTGTTGTTGTTGTAAAGGTGCCCGGTGGCGTAGAGCTACAGGCTCTCGTCTACCAATACTATCCCACACCCGGCATTTCATCGGCCGACTATTTTTATTAAAATAAAAATAGTTTGGGTATCTAGGTCGACTCAGCCTTAAATGAGTACTTGGGATTCATAATCCTGAGGTAATAATAGGCGGTTGAAGCGTAGTGCTAGCCACATTACCTTCCTTGTATACCGAACGGCTCTAGCATGGCAAGCTGTACCTTGCTACTCCCAAGGCGTTAAACGCTATATACGGGAGCTATTATTATTATTATATGTTTTGTTGTTGTGCAATGTTATGCTATTTTGTTCCAGCTTAATTTTTTTATTTTCTTTTTTTCTAATTTGGAAGTCTCATCTTACATTAAGGCGTCCCCTTGATCATTTTGCATTTCTCGGATACCACTTTGTAATGTTTGTACTTTGGTTACTGTACTTAGCTATTATTAGTCCTTAGGTTAGGTTAGGTTGCTGGGGTTTGGGATTATGTTTGATCCCTCACTTGGAGGCTTTGGTCCCATTGCGATACCACTGTATTATTTGTACCAAACCTTCCTCTCATTCTTTGCGTTAAAGTACTTAAAAAAGCAATCCTTGCAAAGTTCTCGATGTCGCTGATGTTGGCTACTGCTGCTTCCTCTAGTCCTTCCAAAAACATTTCCCTAAAGTTTTAAAGCGTCCGTATTCCCGTGCCGAGTCAGTGGCACAGCTCTATGGGTTTCTTCTTTTTCTCTGCACACTCTGCAGTGTCGTTGGAAATTTTCCATCTCACGAGGTTTACCCCCGTGGAGTTGTTAGTCTTTAGGTTACTTACATATTGTCATTTAAGAGACTTAATCCTGTAGATCACGTTTGTTAACTGTATCTTCTAACTTACCTGTTCTATCTTCTTCTAGCCCCTCTTTATTATTTCAAATATAGATCGCTTTATAGACGTTTGTGCTATCTAGAGATTTCTTATAAATTATTTTTTCAATCTTTAAGTTTCATAACCAAAAACCGTAGTTATATCCGGTAGTATCACTAAGCACCAGATCAATGGACAATTTCTCGTCGGTATAGAGAATTTAAACGGGGATAGATCAATTTTAGCGGATCAATTTTTAGGATCCAAGAAGAGATTCACCAACAACGATAGTCGCTAAGAAAAACGTCTATGATGTACGTAAACTAATCTAAGAAGATCGACACGTCAGATATCGTGAAACTGAAGTTATCATCGGACATTTCAAAGACCTCAATCCAAAAAATTTTATGAAGAATGATCTGTAAAAAAATTGATTTCTCATTGGATATTACCGCATCTGTTGGCGGAAGAACAGAAAGCAATTAGAGCCAATCGGTAACAAAAAACTCTAAACTGGTTTACCGCGGGAAAAATATATACAGTTTTATCAGTGGTGTTGAATCCTGGATTTCCTCTTATGACCCCGAAAATAAACGTCAATCAATTGTTTGGATGTTCCAAAATGAATCAAAACCGACGAAAGTTATACGTTCCCGAAATGTTTCCAAAAAATGATGGCTACATTTGTTTCAAAAGTGGGCCATGTAGCAACAATTCCTCTACAAGATCAAAGAACTGTTACTGCTGATTGGTACATATCTAGTTGTTTGTCGGAAGTAATTGCTGAGTTTCGAAAAACCAACCCTCGACGACTAATGATCCTCCACCAAAACAATGCAGGTTCCCACATAACTCAAAAACAATTGAGTTTTTAAAGCACGGAAACATCGAATTGTGCAGAAAAAATATCGAATGAGAGGGACTAAATATTAGTCCTACAAAGACCGTAATAATCCCCTTCACCAAACGAAGAATTTTGGAGGGATAGGACCTCTAAGACTCTGCGGTGATGAGATTCTGGGGTCTCAGACCACAGATGGTGCACTGGCTGTACACTGGAGTGGTGAGGCCTTCAGTAACATATGCATCCTTGGTGTGGTGACCTAAGGTAATGCAACAAACAACAATGCTCAGCCTTAGTAAGGTGCAAGGGCTTGCTTGTCTGAGCATAACAGGGGCGATTAAATCAACGCCCACTGCATCAATGGAGGCGCTTCTGGACCTTCTGCCTCTTCACATAGTGATCCAGGGGGAGGCAAGAATGGGACTCTATCGACAACAAAACGTCTTGTCTCTGGGAAATAGGTCAGAAACAGGACACTCAAAGATGGGAGATTCTATCGGAGAACCTCTACTTCAAATGAGATCGGACCAAGTGACCCCCCTTTATTACTACCACAAACCATTCGAGGTGAAAAAAATGGATCGAGGAATGTGGACAGATATAACATTCCTTCATGATGGACTAACCTGGTATACACACGGGTCAAAGACCGCTGAAGGTACAAGAGCTGGAGCATTTGGGGAAAGACCAAGGGCAAGCTTATCCTTTTCCTTGGGTAAACACTCAACCGTATTCCAGACAGAAATCTACGCCATTCTACAATGTGCGAGAGAAAACAATACAAGAGCTTATTCAGGTAAGCTCATCAATATATGCTCAGACAAGCGGCACTTGGGGCGTTTATGAGCCCAAAGGTATCGTCGAGACTTGTCTGGGAATGACTGGGTGAACTGGGAGCTCTGGCACGAAGGAACAGAATTAAATTATTCTAGGTGCCGGGCCACAGCGGCATCAAAGGCAACGAAAAAGCCGATGAACTAGCTAGGCAGGCATATGCATCCTATCTTGGTCCAGAGCCAGTACTGGGAATACCCAAATGTATTGCCCGTAGTTCACTAAAACTCTGGTCCATTGGAGAAACAGACAGGGGCACAGGCACAGCTAGGCTTTTATCCAAGGACCTATCTCTAAAACCGCAAAAGAACTGCTAATGCTTAGCAGGAATAAAGTGCGGATTACAACAGGCCTCTTGACAGGACACATGGCTGTCAAGTATTACTTGAACAAGCTCAACCTGTATCAAAGAAGTCTTTGCTGCAAACTCTGCGATAAAGATCCTGAAACAGCGGAGCACATAATATGTCATTGCGAGGCTCTAGATCGCAAGCGATACTTTTTATTTGGGAAAGCTAGGCTAGAACCGGAGGAACTATGCTCCCATCCTATCAAGGACCTGCATAAGTTGGAGCAGGGCACAGGGATAAGAGAATGGGTGCAGATATAGAAGGGGGAAAAACACAATAGGCCTCACAGGTCGCAGTGTTTCCGGCAGAGGACGGCCCCTTGTTATGAAAAAAAAAACATCGAATTGTTGGACCATCCTCCATACACTCCCGACATATGTCCTAACGACTTATTTTTCCAAAAATTAAGAATGAACTGCCTGGTTAAAGGTTTCAATCCCCGGAAGAACTTCAAAAGCGCAATTTTTAAGATATCAACAAGCGAGTGGAATAACTGCCTTCAAAATTGGTTCCAACGAATGCAAAAATGCATTTCTCTTCGTGGAGAATATTTCGAAAAACAAGTGTTTAAAGGTTATCTACTGTTTTTTTCTACCTCTATATGCCAAATATAAAAGACAACAGACAAGTGAATAAGATTTAGACACCCGCTTAGTCGGTAGACAATTATATAGCTTAGAACATCGGTCCAAAATGCTCGTAAACAAAGAAGGTTCTCTCCAGGATAGCCCTGATAGCAAGCAGAAAACTTTGACCCTAAAATAGAACATTATAAAATATTTTACGTTAAACTTTATGTATAATATTCTATGTCAAAGATTATACCGATTTCTAATTTTTTTCCATTTTTATACCAAAAATCATAAACGGTTGCACACAGAAAGATAATTATTAGAAGATTAATAATTATTAAGATTTTCTGCTGCAATGGGATAGAGTAAAATACGTTTTTTAAATAATAGAAAATAACATAAACAATAACCATATACAAATAAATTTTATTTACTTCTAGATGCATTTCAGACGTTCATTATACTAAAGAAACGATATGGATTGCCGTACAGTATGTGGATTAAAAATCAATGTTACTATGTAACAGATAATCCAAAAGAAATAAAAATAATTTTAAGTCATCCGCAATGCTTTAACAAGGCAGATTTTTATAACGATTCAGTTAAAACACTTTTGTTTAACGGTTTTGCGATTACAGAATTGTCAGAAAGTAAGTATAAAACTTTATTTATCTTATTAATATTAGGATTCAAGCTTTCAGGTATGATTTTGAGATAAAAATAAACAGAAAGAGCTTTATTAAGAGTAAAATGAATAAATGCTATTTAATTCAAGAGGTGATTCTTTTTGAAAGGTAGAGTGGTATTTAGAATAAAAAAAATTGCCTTGGAGTTTTTTAGAATAGAATAGTCTCAAGAATCACTCCCTTAAATATTAATATATCAAGGAACACCCTGTATAACTAATTCTCAAAGTGTTGTGCCTAATTTTTTATTGATGATTGTAGTTACAAATGAAATAGTATTCAAACCTTAGAGAAAGTTTTTATTACTGTATCGAGATTTTATAAAATTATAAAAATATAAATTATAATCTCTTGATAATATTTCTATGTTGTCAGAATTATTGTACATACTAATAAAACAGCTACATACACCATTATTTTTAAAACATAAAATCATAATATAATACAATATAATTAAAACTGAAAAAAATCATCATCTGTTAATAATGTTAATAAATTTTATTAAAAATTAAACTAAATTAGAATGTAAAAAGTTAAAGATATGCAGATTTTTCTGAATAGCCGTTTAGTCTATAATATTTTAGGTGAATAGTTAGACCACCAGATGAACGCGTAGGTAATATGATTAAGATAAATCACGAAGTTATGCAGACAAACACAGGCTTCTCTGGCCAGTCTTCAGTGTGATAAGCTGTTGCACTACTTATGTAAAACAAATTGGCTAGTGCTTCGAAATTTGACTACGTATCTGATTTAGTTCATAATTATTCAGAGGCACGATCCAACACGGGATGGCGCTTTAAAATAACACTAAAATATATGAAATGAAAGAGAAAAAACGAGCCACCATATACTCACCGGAAATTACTACAACTTTTGATTTTTAAATGGCACCCACGGTATTTTTTTTTACTTTATTAATTATTTAACTGTATTTAAATAATTTTTAATGTAAGAATAATGTAAGATGGTAATACCGTATGATCGAATAAAACGGCGTCAGCGATGGCTATGAAATGAAGATCGCTGTCATTTTATATGTAAAATTAAATGGGGAATGTCATTAATGTTCATTTCCAAGCCAACTGGACGCCGTTTTTTTTCGATCATACGGTATATAGCATACGTGCCATATAGAGCATACGTACTATTCGTACTATACCATATAGAGCATACGTACTATACGTACTATACCATATAGAGCATACGTACCATACGATAAAAAAACAATGATGGAGCGGCTTGGAAATGAAGATCACTGTCGTCAATTTAAATGAAAAATTAAATGACAAATTGGATGATTTCCATGTCTACTTGTTGTTATTTTCGGTCATATAGTATTTACTGTTTATACCACTACATTTCGGTAATTTACATAATTATTTATCAAAATCTCCTCGCAACATTGTCCTATTTATCTCAAAAGTTTACTAATTTTGACAAGTGGATAACCCCTATACCTTTTTTATTTTTTTAGATAATAAAACGAAATTTAATATATTTTTTTTTTAATTTGATTTAAATTCAATTAGGATGAGTACAAAAATAAATTTTAAATTTTACAGTTTCTGTAACAGTTGGTATTCCCAGAGAGAACGTACATTAAATTCGTAAAATATATGCAGTAGGCACCTGTCAATATTTTTATAGAAATACCAGAGAAAATACCGGGTGCGTCTCGCAAGTGGCTCACCCCTATAATTTTTTTTCAGATAAAACAACCAGATTCGGTATGTTAGTATATGACATGAATTAGGATTGATTGACATATTTAATTGTTTTCGGTTACTTCCGGTCTCACCGGAAATGACTACAACTTTTGATTTTTAAAGGGCACCCACGGTATTTTTTTTACTTTATTCGATAGAAAATGACACTCTGGATAGAATGACATATCACATGTCAGCTTCTGACATTTTCACATATGGTTTATTTAAAATTATAACATGCGTTTCATAACGATAATTTGACTCGAAATACCAAGTGTGTGGTATCAAATTATTCGTAAAAAAATGCTTTTTCTAAATATGCTAATGAGCCACCCCCGTTCCATTTGAAAAAATTGAGATATGATTAAAAATATGATTTGGGTATCTTTTAACCGGCCAGGGGCGCTATTCTGTACAATCGTCGGTATCGGTAAGTTACCGACAGCTATATCGGTACGTACGGCCAATGAGCGTCGTGCTAGTTGTTTTTGTCATAGTTTTGAGCTGTAATTAATAGGACATATAGCAAATTTGTACCGACGACTATCGGTATCTTTACCGTGGGGTTAACAAGGGCACGGTAGAGATACCGATCCTCGTCGGTATAACTTGCGATATCTGTCATAGGGCCGATCGATAACTATGACAACAACAATCAACACATGTTTACTATTAACAAATACGTACCGATAGCTGTCGGTAACTTACCGATACCGACGATTGTACAGAATAGCGCCCCAGGACAAGACACTAAAAACATTAACCGATCAAATCTATTTTTCCAAGAGTCCTTGATTAAAAATTAGTGTTTTTAACATAGCCATCGCACTCTAGTTTGAAATTTAAAGTACAATTAGTTTTTAAGCGAATATGTCAAAAGTTTACATATGATATGTCATTCAATTCAGAGTGATATTTTCTATCAAATAAAGTAAAATAATATCGAGGGTACCATTTAAAAATCAAAAGTTGGTCATTTCCGATGAAACAGGAAGTGACCGAAAACAATTGTATATGTCAATCAATCCTAATTTATCTATGTCATATACTAACATACCAAATATCATTTGATATATCTGAAAAAATAAAAACAGGTTATAGGGGTCAGCCACTTTTGAGACGCACCCGGTATATAGATTTTGTATGTCATCTCTCATATAATTTGTTATCTAATTTAAATTATTATATAAATTATTTTGGTAAACTCACTTAGTTTTCAATAAATGACGCTTTAAAATATAATAATTACTAGTTCTAGCAAAGTTTTAGATAGATCTATAAATATTTCTTTTTATAATAGCAATAACATTGTTTCACGCGAGATTGCGTCTGAAAGAAGTCTTTAAAATGTAAATGGGTGAACTCAACTGCAAAATTTATAGATCGCGCTGTCTCGTGGCAATATAATAAACACCCCTCGCCATATAAAGACGCTATAAAGTTCTTGCACCTTTAGTTATTTTCTTCAATATTCTATTTTATAAAGTTCTAAGGATTTTTTAATCTTCTTCCCGACAGGTTAAACAAATTAATAGTTTTATAATTAATTTTGTGACTTTAGTCCATTGATAAAAGATAAACAAAAAAGTTTTAAAAAATGTTATATTAATCATAAATTGAGAAATGTTCATTAATTACATTAATGAATTTATTTTATTAGTATTATGTCGTTTAATAAATATTAGCATTTATTGATCCAACTTCCAAGGGTCTACGTCTACCCAAGGGTCTTTTATGACGTATGATCGAAAAAAAAGCGTCAAAGATGGCTGGGGAACGACAATCGACAATAATTTTCTTGAGGTCAATCTCTAGGCGTCATTTACTAAAAACTAAATAAACCTTGTCAAAAATTAATACATGAACATTAAAGAAGGAATTGAACATTTCTAGACAAAAATCTATTTCCAAAAATGTTTTTCTCAAATTTTAAAGTACTTACACCATTTAAAATCATTTTTACTCAATATAAAAATAAATTAAAACCTTCTTAAAGCCAATAACTGGTAGTCAGAGCAATTAAAAACTAAAGAATAGTAGGGGCCAAGTAAATGAAGTCTAGAGCCAAAATAATCATCGACTGCCATTCCCCAGCCGTCCTTGACGGCATTTATTTTTGATTGTATGGTATTTTAATACGTAAAAAAATACCACTAATTAACTGGATATCGGGTCAGCAATATTTAAATCACTTTGCTGTCTACCCTAATTTTGTTGGTATACAATCCTTTCTTAGTTTTTTTTATTCAGTCATCGAAATCGTCCCTTTCTCCAGTGGGAAAACCTCGGGAGAAACTATATAAAACTTCTAATCATATCTCAAATCTAAAAGAATTATGAATGAATACTTTAGTTAAATAGTTAAACGTTCTTCTGATATTGATAAACTTTTTTAAAATTATTAAATTACCTATATTTTATAGGCCAATAAATAAAATCCTTAAATAAATATTATCATATATACTAGTATATTTATTTATTAATTTCTGTACCATTTTGTTTTGGTTGTACTTAAACTGCCGTTAAACGGTAGCTTACTAAAATGCCGTTAATAGGTATGACGTCGTTGATGTGACGCACTTGACGGCTTTATGAAATATAGAAATTTTATAAGGACTAACCAACGCTATACACCCCACCAAATAACCAACGCAACTAACCTCGACACTGATAAAAAATATAAAAAACAAATATAAATTAGTAAAAACCAACCCCACCAAATAAACAACTAACCAATGAATTAACACCCTCCAAATAACCACGGTACCAACCCGCCAAATAACTAAACCAATCCAACTAAAAAGAGTGAAACCAATGCAATAAGATCACGCTATAAGCAAAAAAAATATAAAAAAGTCTTGGTCGGCGTGAGATTTGAACCACTGACCATTCACTTACGAAGCGACAGCCTCAGCCACTGACCCACAGGTGCTCTTGCAGAATGCTTAAGGCTAGGCATTACTTTCCGCCGACATGAACGACGTCACAATATCTATTAACGGCATTTTAGTAGGCTGCCGTTTAACGGCTGTTTAAGTACATCGTTTTGTTTTTCTCTCATGATAAAATGAAAAAATAATATTCAGACTAAAGAATATAGGATTTGTATTCCATTTAGCGATGGGAACTATCGATTGAATTAGACTATCGAATGGTTACTGAATGAATGATTTCAACTATCGAATGGTTTTATTCGAATAAAATCATTCATTCATTTGTATACTAAAGTAGTAGTGGGAACTATCGAATGAATAC